TCGTTAATTAAAATCTTTACAAATTTAATTTTTTTTCTATGCTATTTGTAGATATTTTATCAATTCATTCATTCATTTACAATTTAATTCTCATTAAGAAAATATATATCAGAAAAAAATGACACTACATATTATGTAATCGATACTTATCTCAAATAATAACCATGAAACAATCTTTTAGGATTTCATCAGCTAAATCATCTATGTTGTACGATTTTTTTTAATGAAAAGTACACCTCCTTCAGTATATACAGAGATATTTTTCTATTAAGAAGAAACAACAAATTGCACTGTCATCATTTCTATTGCATTTTCTTTTGCTCGTTCTTCATGTCCATGTTATGATGACGAAGCAGAATAAAGTAGAACAGTACATGGCTTTTTTTCTTTGATATAGATACCTACTTTTACACAAAATTTATTCTCATTCTTCTTTTATTCTCTAGAAAAACTCGATTCAAACAACATTAATGCCATCATACAAACTTTCTTACTTCAATGGTCGTGGTGTCGGTGAAGTATCACGATTAATCTTTGCTGCTGCTGGTCAAAAATATGAAGATGTCCGTTATGAAGTCGATCAATGGCCAGCATACAAAGCTGAAATGCCATTGGGACAAATGCCTGTTCTTGAAGTTGATGGTATTAAATTACCACAATCAGCAGCAATTGCAAGATTTCTTGCTAAACAATTTCATTTAGCTGGTAAAGACAACTTTGAACAAGCAAAAGTCGATGCTGTTGTTGACACAATTTATGATACATACAAAGCATGGGCACCATCCCGTTTCGGAGAAGATCCAGTCAAAAAAGAAGCACTCTCAAAAAAATTCTTTGGTGAAGAACTACCAAAACAATTACAAAACCTTGAAACTCTTGGTAAATTATATGGTAATGGTGGTCATTTCTTTGTTGGCAATCAACTAACATGGGCTGATTTATTCTTTCATACTATTACAGAAACGCTTCTTGGAATAAACGCTGATTGTTTGAATAATTTTCCATGGCTAAAACAAAATCGTGCTGAAGTTGAAAAACAACCTAAAATTGCAGAATATCTTAAGAATCGATCTAAAACAGAATTATAGAGAGTCAGAATAAAACTGTTATATTTTGTAAGGTTCTTATAATACGTATATTCATATAATAAAATCTTCATAGACTTTTGTTTATTCTCTACAATATTGCTATTTATGAAATATCTGAAAAATATTGCTGAGTTCAATATACATACGGTAGGAATGCAATTTAAATGAAAATCTACTGATGAACTATAACAGAGTATGATATACAGTTTTCAATAAAAGTAATAAAATTAATTTAAAATAAAATAATTAGAAATACAGATCAATATCCTTGC